TTAGAGTCAATAACTTTGTTAATAATAATAAAAAAAAGAAGAAGAAATTTATTTATTTATTTATTAACTTTCTACGTATTTAAAAAAATTTTAATTTTGTCGTCGTTTGTTGTTGTTTTCGTTGGATTAATTAATAATCAATCGATCAAATTTTTTTTTATACCTATTAATCAATAAGATCGATAAATTATTTTTTAAATCAGGCGTAATTTAACGGAACTGCAACGAATTTTTTAAATATTATTTTGACCGCGTTCGAAAATAAATAAATAAATATCGTGAGTTTATTTTTAAACACATGGACAATCAAAACAAACAAACAAACACACACACTTTACTATTCCAAACACGTGTTTGTTGTTGTTTTTGTCCATTTAATTTCGTTAGATCGTGTGTGATTTATAAAAACCACGTGTATTCGTGATAAAACAATCATATTAATTGTAAAAAAAAAAAAATTTAAAATTCGTGTCAGATTTTGTTAAAAATCGAAATGAGAGAGAATATATTGAATATTAGTGGTTAAAAAAAAAGGTCGTGGCAGCAGCAGTAGATTTTTAAAAACGCCATTTTTTTTTTTTTACAAGACTTTTAAACACAAACAAAAACGTTTTTACGATCATTATTATCTTTTTTTTTTTTTGTTAATGGTTTTTAAATAATTTAGGTGATACTTATATTATTATTATTTTTTGGGCGTGTTAAAAAAGAATTATTTTTATTTCTATTGTTTAAAATTTGCCCTTTAAATTTGTTTTTTGTTTTTTTGGCACATTTTAAACGTTAAGCTAATTAGTATTTTATTCGAATCGATAGATCGATCGATCGATTGAATATTTTTTTGATGAATTTCGTCAAATATTTTTTATTGATCTTTGTCACGTTTGCTTTTTTTTTAGTATTCGAATTGCATCAACGTATCTATTTAAAAAAAAAAAAAAAAAACTAGAATCGATCTCGTTTAAAAAAAAAATTTCGTGTTCCCGTGAGGTACAATTAAAAAAAAAAAAAAAAAAAAACGAAAAATTTGTGTGTGAGCCTGGTAGAAAGTTTCTTGTAATACCACCTTCCTACCTTCGGATAACGGTCTAACATTCTTCCTTGACGTAACGAAATAGAAATCGAATTTCAAGGTCACGACATTGACCTTATACGTCCCGGAACGATGAATTACGCGCCTTTCTCTTAACCACTCTCACTTACACGATCGATTACCATCATAATGCAATAATAATAATAATAATAATAATAATAATAATAATAATAATACTCGTCGTCATCGAATAATCAATAAAAAGAAAAAAGAAAAGAATCTCTCATGAAAGATTTTTAATATCAAAGGGATTTTTTATCCAGTGACAACGAGATTTTTCTCGCTGCATTGACCATGGGGTTAAGGTAGCCATATCGTGATTGCCAAATGTTTTATTCATAGATATTACAAATCGTCTGCTAAAAGATTTTTAAAATAACCGCGAAAACCGAAAATAAATAAAAAACGATTGTGTGAAATTTTTTGTGTGTTTAAACTTTACGACGACATGTTTTCCTCCCAAACCAATTTAAAAATTAAGGGGAAAAAAAAATTTTATTATTATTATTATTATTATTATTATTATTATTATTATTATTATTATTATTACAAACGCGTCATGAATGTGTATACTGACGACCCAAATCTACTAATTAAAAACTAACTAATTACTACTAGTACAATAAAATTATTATTAATGATAAAATCTTCTTTTTTTTTTTTAATAAAACGAAAACTTGACTAAAATAAAATTCTATTAATTATTACATGACGTAATAAAAAATAAATAAATAAATACAAAATTGCATTTTCCACCACGTCGATAACAACGATAACAAACGACAACAACAACAACCAAATCGAATTATTCTAAGAAATGATTTTATTTGTATCATTTCAAGGTTCGTTTGAAAATCTAAAAATAATTTAATTATTAACGAAAAAAAAAAAAAAAAAAAATAGGTATTAAAACTATTATCTATTACGTCATAAAATTTTGTTTGTTTCCTGCTTTAATTCAGATCAAACAAACAAGATGGCTTCTTCGCATTAAAAAAAAAACATTTTGTAACATTATTAAAAGAAAAAAAAACATTACTATAAATATTTTTTTTGCATTAACGATGGTTGTTGTAAAATGATGTAACCCTTAATAGAAAATTGCGTAACGGTTTTTTTTTTTTTTTAAATTATTAATAATAATAATAATAATAATAATCAAAATGATAAAAAAAATTGAATGTAAAATAAAAAAATAAAAAAGAAAAGAAAATGAGAAACCAGTCGTTTGTTGTTGTTAGAATGGCGGTTTATACGAACCCGCGTGAACGTGTCAGAAATGACAAAAAAATAAAGACAAACAACAACCAGGAAAATTAATAACAGTAAAAGTCTGAACAACAAGTTAAAATCCTTGACATTTTTTTTTTTTTTTTTTTT